CCTTGACCAGACGGCACAAGCAGCAGGAAGGAAATGTGGGCTGCAGAGAGGGGGCCTGATGGGGACCTTCTGGGGAGGCTGCCAGGGCGCAAGGGTGTGGAGCACAGCGTACGGGCCGGAGCTGCGGGCCTCACCCTCGTGACCTTACTCGATACCTCACCACACCGTGGCACTTTAGCTGCAAGGGAGTCCGGGAAATGCCATGTCAGCGGCCTGTGCGGGACGAGGAGGTGACAAGAGCTTGGCACTGGGCCAGACATTCTCCATCCAGACCCAGGACCCCTCTCCACCCTGTTTGTGCCCTGGGTCCCATAAGGATCCTATAAAGGCTTCCACTGGCCAAGACCTGAGGGTGAGAGGCTCAGCAGTCAGGCCACCTGTTCTGCCACACCTGACGCCTGGGCCACCATGGCAGCAGCTGCATCCATGTCACCAGCCTTCTCCCGTCACAGCAGCTCCAGCCGGCCTCTGGGACTGGCCCTTCCCCTCATTCCTCTGCACCGGGGAGGGCCAGTGGCTCCCGGCTGCTGTTGCCCTGGGGGCCATGAGTGGTCCCTGTTGCCCTCTCAACCTGACCCTCCCTTTGTGCCAAGTCTCCCTGGGACCCCTTGGAGTGTCGGCCAGGTGGTGGCAGGCACAGGCTGCACCCACTGCCTGCTGGCCCCAGGGTGTGTCTGGGGGCGACGAGCTCCTCCTACAGGGGGAGAGGGCCTCTCATTTCCTCAGGTCTTCCTGGCCCTGTGGATGGCCTTGTGGAGCACATCTCACTCCCCTCCTTGATTTACCCCCCAGAAAAGGGCCCAGGGCACGTCAGGGGTAGAAAGGATGTTGCCAGGTGCAACATTCTTAGGGGAAGGGGCTCCGTGGGCCGCAGGGAAGGCCGAGGGGCAGTGGATGCCTCGCAGTGGGGGGCAGCCCGGGAGCAGGCTGACAGGGCGGCGTGGGCCAGGGGTGCCCTGAGACCTGGCCCTCCCGGGATTCACAGCACTCCTGGGGTCTACCCCGACCCCAGCCCCCCGGCTCCCCCCAGGCCGGGTTCTGTCCCTTGGAGCCTGGGGCCCAGAGAGGGAGGAACTTGCTCAAGGTCACACAGAGGAGAGCGTGTCCCCTGCACCGGCGCACCTTCCTTGCCCACGCTTCGTGCCTGGTACTTTCTCTCTGAACACGCCCCCCCGGCCCCCGCCCCCTCAGCTCAGCTGCCTCACGTGGGACGTAAAATGTTTGTGCCTTCACTGTTCCCTTGTGGGGCTGCCCGTCTGCGCCCCTCACCCACCCCAGTTCATGGGGAGCTGCGGTGCCCTGGGCTGGGGCCTTTCTTATCTGTTTTGTGTTCAAGGCACCCAGCACCTAGCACCAGCCTGAAGCACTCATTCTTCAAATATTGACAGTTGCCCGTGTGTTTGTTGGTGTGGTTTGATATGAAGTGGCTGCTGTAAGGCAGTGGTTCTCAGATGGGGGCGTTTCCGTGGCCCAGGGGATGTTTGGCGGGGCCTGAAGACATTTTCAGTCGCCCGAATGGGGGTGCTCCTGGTGTCCAGGGGTGCAGGCCCAGAATGCTGCTCCACACCCTGCCGTGCACAGCACAGCACGACAGAGTCCTTGGCTGACGCAGGCGGGACCGCCAGGAGCCCCGGTGATGACGCTGCTTTGCTGGCGTTGGGACCCGCCACTCTCCCTTACGATTTTTCCCTTTGCGGTGGGAATCTCTGTCCTCGGCCTGTCCCACTGCTGTATTTTGGAGGCACGTAATTTGTCTGGTTGCACAGATTGACAGCCAGAGAGGAATTTGCCAGGATGTATCATACCCGGACTCGGCCATGTGTGATGTAGAGAGGGTCTGGAGGAGACTCTGGGCTTTAGGGGTTAGTGGGGGGCCCTGTAATGAGTTAAGACTCCTGGGCTTATTGGGATGACGGGAATGCACCGTGCGTGTGAGAAGGACGTGAATTTTGAGGGCCAAGGGCGCAGTGCTATAGGCTGAACTGTGTCCTCCCCTAATTCATATGTTAAAGCCCTAACCCCCAACCTGATGGTTTTCAGAGAGGGGGCCTCAGGGTTGGATGAAGTCATGAGGTTGGGGCCCTCACGATGGGATTCGGTGACCTGAGAAGATGTGGCACCAGCTCTCTCTCTGCCACGCGAGGATACAGTACGAGGGAGTCACCTGCAAACCAGGAATAGAGTCCCCGCCAGAACCTGCCCACCCAGGAACCCTGATCTCAGACTGCTGCGCTCCAGAACTGGAAGAGAAACAAATTCTCTTGTTTATGTCACCCAGACTCTGGTATTTTGTTATGGCAGCCCAAGCTGACCGAGATAGATGACCTAATGGACATGACTCAAATATAGAAGACCACGGCGGTGATGCCCTGTGGACAGTTATTAAACTCCACTCCTAATAACAGTTTGAGCTCTGACCTGGGCCCCAAACTGAGCTCTCACTGGGGTCAAAGTCTGAGCGCCGACCCTGGGCCCATGCTGAGCCCCATCCCGTCACTCATGCACTGGGCACGCAGTGAGCCTCAATGAAGCCTGGATCCTTTGGTGGGATCCAGCTTTCCGGGAAGGCCTGTGGGGGCGTGACTGCCTGCGGTCCCTCCACACAGGAATGGGGTCGAGGTGTGGCTTCGATGTGACTTCCCCTTAGCCCCCTTCCTTTCCTCTGCTCTGTGGCCACCTCCTAGGACTCCAGATTTTCCTGTTCTCTCGTGGCCCTCCACCTGCCCGCCCAAACCGGTTGGGTTCCCTGGAAATCCTGCCTGTTCACATAGCTCAGAGATTTCCCTGATCTTGTCAGTGTGAAGCTGGGGCTGCTAGGACTGGTGGTGGGGCTGGGCACTGGGGGGAGGCAGGCTGTGTAGGGTAGACCCACCTCACAGGGGTTCCTTACGAATGGGCCACTGCCACCTCCTGGGGCTGCCACGTGGTTCCACA